TTTGAATCTGAAGTCTATTCTGAATCAATAGAGTTCAAGCTTGCTTGCTCCAGGGCTGTGAGAAAGTCCTGATTAGTCCATGGGAAGAAACATACTATCTAGCTAGATGCAGGCTGCTGATGCCAGCCGGAAGTACATCAAGATAGAAAATGGAAGACGGGCGGTGGTAGTGCACGCCTTTAATCCCAGCACTCGGGAGGCAGAGCCAGACGGATCTCTGTGAGTCTGAGGCTAGCCTGGTCTACAAAGAGTTCCAGGAAAGGCACAAAGCTACACAGAGAAACCCTGTCTCGAAAAACCAAAAGGAAAAAAAAAAAAAAAAAAAAAGAAAGATAGAAAATGGAACTGGTTGGCCAGGAACTGTCTGGGGCTGAAGATGATCCTCTGCTCCTCTAGAGGAATGCTGGGGTTAGAGGCCTGTGTGCCTGCTCCTTGACGCAAGGCAGGACAGATAGTGGTTGAATGCCTGTGCTGTGCACTGTTCTACCTCTGTCCTTCAAAACTGTATAAGGTGACTGTGAAATAAACTTGGGGCTGTCCAGCGTTGACTGGCAATCCTCTCGACTCTGTTCTGTCTCTTTCATTGTCTCTACAATCTTCACGCCTCTATCCAGGTACCCAGCTGACTTGGCAGGCTCCAACACTCTGGGGGTCTCTCGAAATGGGTACAACACTCATGGTTTTGGCGACTGGGGCCGGTGATGATGGTTGCAGCTCCTCCTCGGGTGTGATGGTGACTAGGCCGATGGCAGTGGTGGGGCTCGCAGGGCTCTCTGGGATCTGCTCTCCGCTCCAGCTACCGATCGAACTCTTTGCAAGATTTTTATTTTTTTTAAATGTGTGTTGGGGCTAGAAAGATGGCTCAGAGGTTACGAGCACTGGCTGCTCTTCCAGAGGACCCAAGTTCAATTCCCAGCAACCACATGGTGGCTCACAACCATCTATGAGAGCTGGTGCCCTCTTCTGGCCTGCAGGCATACATGCAGGCAGAACATTGTATGCATAATAAATAAATCTATAGAAAAATTAAAAATGTATGTGTTCACATATGTGTGCCTGGGTGTTCTTGCCCATGTGTGCACATATGGAAGCCAGAGGTCAATATCCAGTGTCTTTTTTTTAAGATTTACTTATTATGTATACATGTACACTTTCATCTCACTATAGATGGTTGTGAGCCACCAATCAGGGAACTGAACTCAGGACCTCTGGAAGAACAGCCAGTGCTCTTAACCTCTAAGCCATCTCTCCGGCCCCAATATCAGGTGTCTGTCTCGTTGTTTTCACCTTACTTTTGGAGAAAGTCTCCCACTGAACCCGGAGCTCATCCTTCTAACTAGATTGACTGGCCAGCAAGCTCTAGGGATCCCCAGTCCCCAGCACTGGGGTTAGGTATGTGCTGCCATGCCCTGATCTTTTGTGGGTGCTGGGGTCCAAGCCAGGTCTTCACGCTTGAGTGCAAACCTCCACCCTCAGGCCATCTCCTCACCCTCCAAGATCTAACTCTGTTGTGGGACAGGTGCAGCTCATCCTGGTTGGCCAGGAACTGTCTGGGGCTGAAGATGACCTTGAAGATGACCCCCTGCTCCTCTAGAGGAACGCTGGGGTTAGAGGCCTGTGTGCCCGCACTCCAGTGCGTGCTTCTGCATTCTAGTCAGGCACTCTACCAACCGAGCCACCTCTCCAGCCAGCCTATGAGTCTCTCAGACTGCAGGAATGAACCCAACACCCAGTAAGTTTATTTTCCTTGGCTGGAGAGCCAACCCGGTGGACCCATGTTCAGTTCTCAACATCCATCTGTAACTCACAACCATCTGTACCTACAGCTCCAGAGGATCCAACAGCGCTCACATGCACATTCCCATATGCAGGCACACACACCTATATGTAATTAAAAAAATAATTTTGTAAAATTTTAATTTTTCTTTTCTTTTTGGTTTTTTGAGACAGGATTTTGTAGAAGGAATCTTAAAAGTTCTTATTAATAAAATCAAATCTGTGAGCCAGGTATTGGGGTGAAGCTGGAAGATCAGAGATACAGAACAAGCCACAGCTACCTTACCTTGCCGGATCCTCAGCTGGTCTTGTCTCCTCAGACTGGAGGCCTCTGAGTCCTCATCCAGAATGGCTCTCAGCTGCTGCTCCAAAGCCTGAAAGCTTAACCAGCCAAATGCTTAACCAGCCAAACGCTTCTAGTTCCTGGTCCTCACGCCTTACATATCTTTCTGCCTTCTACCACCACTCCCTAGGATTAAAGGCTCGCTTTCTGGGATTAAAGGCCTGTGTCAACATGCGTGGCTGTTTCCAATGTGGCCTTGAACTCACAGAGCTCCAGAGAGATTTCTACCTCTGAAATGCTAGGATTAAAGGTGTGTGCTATCACTGCCTATCCTAAGTATCTAGTGGCTTTTCTGTTCTCTGATCCCAGATAAGTTTATTAAGGTAAACAATATTTTGGGGAACACAATACCACCACAGGATTTCTCTGTGTAGTTTTGGTGCCTGTCCTGGATCTCACTGTAGCCCAGGCTGGCCTGGAACTCACAGAGATCTGCCTGGCTCTGCCTCCCGAGTGCTGGGATTAAAGGTGTGTGCCATCATCATCATCATCATCATCACCACCCGGCTAAAATTTTAAATTTTTAAAAATTAAATTTTACTTTGCAACCTGTTGGACATGTGTTGTAGACACAAAATTTTAAGTGATTAATTGATTTTATGTATATGAGTATTTTGCCTGTATGCCTGTGCATCACATACATGCGTGCTTGAGGGGCCAGAAGAAGGCATCAGATGCTCTGGAACTGGAGTTTCCAATGGTTGTGAGCTGCCATGTGGGTGCTGGGAACTGAACTCAGGACCTCGGCAGGTACAAGTGTTCTTAACTGCTGGGCCATCGCTCCAGCCCGTTTTACTACTCTGCTATAATGTTCTCTGATACCCAAGTGGCTACTGCACCAGTTAATGGGGTGCAGCAGGCAGTCTCCCTACCACAGGGTCACAGCATTTGTATTTGATTTGTCTGGAAACCTTTTTGATTAACTTTAGTTTTTTTTTGTTGTTGTTGTTTCTTTGAGACAGCATCTCACTCTATAGTCCTGGCTGTCCTGGAACTCACTGAGTAGATCAGGCAGACCTCCTGCCTCTGACTCCCAAGTGCTAGGATTAAAGCCGTGCACCCCTACGCCCGACGGTGGCGGGTACCCGGCGGGCACCAGGGAATCTCAGCTCAGGACCTTCTGCTGTGCAGCAATGGTTTTCCCCACGGAGTCTTCTCCCCAGCCCAGAGTTCTGCTAAATCCTGAGCAGGGGAAGACTTTCAGTCTTCTACTGTCTTCTACTTGGTGAACTCTTCACTTGGATACCTCTTACTCCTTCAAGCATCCATCAAAGGATGTTTTCTCTCCGAAGGTGATGCCGTCTGAAGATGGTGGCAGATACTTAATACATGCAGAAAACTCAGAACACCATAGAAAATAGGTTGTACTATGGCTTATCTTGAAAATTAGACATTAAACATCTACATTTCTCTCCATACCTCTCAGACTCTAAAGCCGGGAAGAAAGATTTTCTCTTATCTCTCCCCCCCCCCCCCCTTTTGTTTTGAGACAAGGTCTTATTTTTTTTCTCTGGCTGGCCTTGAACTCACAAAAATCCACTTATCCTCTCTTTTGCTTTGAAAAACCACGGTAACTGGCTCAGTAAACGGGCAGCTGCCCCATGGATCCACCCCGTTATTCCCTCCTTTGTCTCTGCCACTACCTGCTGGCCTTCACGCACCGTTCTGTTTCCCTTCCCTCTTCCAGCTCTGACACCTTCCTTCTAAGACCTTGAGACAGAGCCCATTCCCAGCAGCATCTGCGGAGAATCAGGCGGGAGACAAACGTGCCACCTCACATCGCAGCCAGCCTGGCTGCCTGCCTGCCTGCCTCTTGCCTTCCACCCCCTCTATGCAGCCCGCATTACCCCCTCCCTCCCAACTGTCTGGTTCACAAAATATCCCTGCTCATCGGGACTTCTCTCCTCCGGCCCACCACCCAGGGAGCTGGCGAGCTAGCAGTGAGGACCGCATGAAAGGCTCAAGGGGATAGGAGGAGGCTCCAGCCCTGCCAGCCTGGAAATGTACAAAGCCCATCCCTCGGGATCAAGCCCGAACCTGACGTCAAGCCGAGGCTGAAAATACAGTCTGGAAAGTCACGAGGTGCCCATGAAAAACGAGCTGCCCTCCCCAGACAGAGACGTGGGAGCGCGGAAGGGACGTAAATCCCAGCTTTTTAGAGTCTCCAGAGAGCAGGAAGAGCCTCGGAGCCTCTAGAATTTTGCCGAGATTTTCCCAGTGTCCTAGTCCTACTTCGGGGACTGCCCTGGACAGGCCACCGCCAGCCCCTCCCTCCTCGACTCCTCAACGTGCACACACACTCCTCAGAGCAACCTGTGCCTGACCCTGAAAGGCCCTGGGTGAATGGGGCGCGGGGGGGGGGGGG